ACACCAGTCCAATCGGAACTTACCTGGCATTTCCAATGTGGGGAACCCGTAACCTAGGACCACCATGTGCATCTGAGATGATGACCCCTTACTTGTTCAGCCTCTGGGGGCAGGTTCTCTCTCCTGCTAATTGTGACCTAGACCCAGACTCTGGGCCTGCATAGTGCCGCACCCTTGCTCTTTCCGTTTGTCTGCATGGACAGCAACGCCAAGTCTGTGCTGTCATGCCTGCTGTACTAGTGCTGGGACCCAACAACCAGCTCCCTTCCCTCACGCTCGGAGGCCTGTGTGGCAGAAAGCCCAGTGAGCAGATGAGAAGGGGCCAGGAGAGAGCCTTGTCCAGTGTGCTGGGGGGCCCCGGGGCCCTCACAGAGCACTTCCTCCTGCCCCAACCCGTGCTGCCCAGGGCTCTCGCCCTGACAGTGCTGCCAGGCCTCTGTAATCAAGGCTGAGAGGTGGCCGCCACCTGCCCACACCATGGACTCTCCAGCACATGCCTCGCCAGTTCCTTTCCTCATTGCAGTCCCCCCAGAGTGTACGTGGATGTGGTGGATGGAACCTTGCAGACCCCTGCACTACGCGGTGGGCTGCTCAGGGTCTGACCCACCTCTCTCCTCGGGGAGCTGGTCGCAGGGCATGTGTGGCCGGCAGCCCTTCTTGCTGCTCTTACGGGGTGCCCTCTGCCCCCTGAGCTGTGCGTACCTGGGAAACAGATGTGTTACCTGCCTCCTTCTTTGACGGTCGTAAGTGTCATGGCTTCCTCCTAATGACCACAGCTGTGGTTTGAGGGAGGGGGCTGCAGAGGTGTGTGAACTTCACTGGGGGACGTGAGCGTGATTTAACGCCTCCTTGCCCCAGTTCTGTGTAATTCTAGGAAAGCTAGTATTTTACATGATGCTCCTGTCAAAAACGTGGGCCTGAATGCCTGTCTGGAGACGGGAAGATGGTGTGTTGCGGATGGTGTGTCGCAGTGTCGGTAAGCCTCGTCTCCCTGCCTGCTGTGGGCTTCGTTCTGCCCCGAGTGCAGGTCCACACGCGGCCCTGAGATGAGGCAGACATGGGCCTTTGTGCCCTGGGGATCCCCCTGGAGCCCCAGGGCGGCCCTGGCCCTGGGCTCTGTCCTTAGCTGTGAGCTCTGGAGACGGCTGCCTCTCGGAGCTGGGCCCACGCCAGGTCTGCCCTCCACCTCCCTCTACCTGGCTCCTTTTTCATGGCATGGCCGTGGCCTTGGTTCTGTGGCTGATGCGTGTAGGAGGGCCTCGCCCCTGTGTGGGACCTGCCTTTTCCCCAGCTGCTTACTGTTAGCAACGGAAACTAAGTCCTGGGACTGGGGAGGGGCTGAGCTGGGAGGGAGCTCTGTGTTCATGTCAATGGCTTTGACGTTGGTTCTGTTCCTTCCTTTTAACTGATTACAGAATTCAGATCTTCCTGCAAATCAGTGGGATGGATTCATGTCTGTCCCCAGCTTTGTGGGGCTTTGGAAGGCTTCCTTGGTCAGGCGTCTGAGTGTGGGCAACGACACCCCCTCTGAGCAAATAACTCCTGGGGGCCGGCCTTGTGCTGTCTGAGCGGCTTGCATGTGTCCACCGAGCCGGTGGGGTGTGGGGCTTGTCCTTCGAGCAGGAGTTTTGGGACACAGTGTTTCACAGTTTCTTTTAATGTTAATCAAGAAGAAAAGGTGGTTCAGCAGAATGGTCAGTCAGCAGCGTGGACGAGGGAAGGCCCCCCCCACCACTGTGCTCCCTTCTGCCTCTGCCAGTATCTTCTGGTGGTGGGGCAGCGGAGCCACTCTCACCTGCCAATAACGGGCTCCAAAAGATGGCCATAATCACGCCGGGCCACTCGCTCACGTGCACACCCTCATCCCTGTGAGCCACATCAGGGTAGGTGCCCGCCCCACGGTGCCCGCACACGGTGCCCGCCCACGGTGCCCACAGTGCCCGGCCACGGTGCCTGCACACGTGCCCACCCACGGTGCCCGCCCCCCATGATGTGTGCATGGTTCAGATGCAGTAGGAGGGAGGAATGTCTTCAGAGTACCTGTTGGCCTCTCTCCTGGAGAGTGGAAAGCAGTGCCCAGAGTCGGGGAGTCCACTTCTCACCGTGTCTGGAGAGGGAGGGGCTGCGGCAGAAATCCGTCCTGCCAGCCAGAAGGTGGGGAAGAACAAGGAGCTGGCGGCCACATGGCCACTCTCCATTACACACTTTCCGAGAAGCCAGGTCACCTGTGAGATGGCAGCTGCCGGCTGAAAACCGCTGGCCAGTAGGCTCTAGGAGAGATGGCCCACTGGCCTCAGGACACAGCTTGGCCACGTGGTGGGGTTCCCGGCACAGTGCTGGCCAGGAGGTGCAGCATGCCCAGTTCTCCGCCAGGGCCTCATGCTATCCCGCATCGGTGGTTCTCGTTATCCTAGATGAGCACTGACATTGCCCCGCTAGTTCCTGTCAGGAGTTCAGGGTATGAGGCCAAACCTGACACACTCACTTTCTCTAATTCTGATGAAATATCCAGCCTGTGTTGATGTGTGTAAGTGCGTATGTGTGTATGTGTACATGTGTGTGCATGTGTGTGTGCATGTGTGCACGTGCATGCATGCATGTGTGTGCATGTGGACACGCTGGTATGTATGCACATGTACATGTGTGTGCATATGTATGTGCATGTGTGTGTATCTGTGTATCCATGTGTATGTGCACGTGTGTATGTGTGCACGTGTGTGCACGTGTGTGCACGTGTGTGTGGATATGTATGGGTGTCTTTGTGCATGCGTGTGTGCACATATGTGTGTGTTTGTGTTGAAAATATAACGAACAAGATGTGTCATCTCAGTAACGCCTAAACATGGGATTCAGTTACATTGTAGCCTCTAGTCCTCCACTCATTCCCCTGTCCGTCCGTGTCCAGGTCTCTCCTCCTTCTGTCACTCCTCCACCCAATTCAGTCCTGTGGTTCCCTTGAGTCCCCCACTCACTCCTCCCATCAGTCTCCAGGTTGCTCTTCCTACTGTCACTCTTCCACCCATCGCTTCGCTTCCTGTCGCTCTGCCTCTCATCATTCCTCCTCCAAGTCACTCCTCCTCCTCCCATCACTCCCCCTCCCCTCACTCCTCCTCCCGTCACTCCTCCTCCTCCCCTCACTCCTCCTCCTGTCCTTCCTCCTCCCCTCCTCCTCCCGTCCTTTTTCCTCCCGTCACTCCTCCTCCCATCACTACTCCTCCCGTCACTCCTCCTCCTCCCATCACTCCCCCTCCCCTCACTCCTCCTCCCGTCACTCCTTCTCCCGTCACTCCTCCTCCAGGTCACTCCTCCTCCCGTCACTCCTCCTCCCGTCACTCCTTCTCCCGTCACTCCTCCTCCCGTCACTCCTCCTCCCGTCACTCCTTCTCCCGTCACTCCTCCTCCAGGTCACTCCTCCTCCCGTGGCACCTCCAGCCCTATAGTGAACTCATGGCCCATGAGCAGTTCCTTCCCATTTCCACCTGCCATCCCCGGCCACCACCGCCCATCTCCGCTTTCTGCATATCTGTTTCCTGAAGCCTGCGTATTTCACATCAGTGAGATCAGCAGTCCTGTCCTGCTCTGGCTGATTGCTCCCATTGGGCTGTTTGCGGCATCCATCTGTCCATCCGTGTGAACGGCATCTCACCTGCACCAGGACTTGGGTTTCTCCTCAGGCCGAGTAATCCTCCCTTGGGTTGTTGAAGGGTAGGACACCTGCTGTGAACAGTTCCTGGAGGAGAGATTTATGGTGATACTAGCAGCTTCCCTGGGGGAGCGGCAGGTCCTCCGGGGCGAGGCCAGGCTTCTGCCGAGGCACAGAGTGGGAGGGGCTTAAGGCAGACACCCCGGGCAGCTGGGGCATCGCTGTCTTCAGTGGCCGGCGCTGCTGCAGTGGCCGAGGTCGGGGACACGGCTGACGCATTCCTGACTGGCTCATGTTTGGGCTAGTTCGGTCGTAGGGTGGAAATGACAGGTTTGGACCAGGGGCGTCTTCTGAGAATGGCTGACCACGATGTCCTGGAGCCCTGGCCAGACTGGACGTTGTCCGTGTTACGGTGGTGGAGCCACCACCCACACAGGGAGGCAGCAGTCAGGAAAGCAAAGGACATACCGCGCTGGGAATTTTTGCCGCAAAAGACGGCTTTAAAGTGTTAAAAAGCCCGCGTGTCACTGTGAAGACTAAGGTGTGCCTGACCCAACCATGGTATTTTCAGTAGCTTCATATGCGTGTGAAAGCTGGACAGCGAATGAGGGAGACTGAAGAAGAGTTGACGCCTTTGAATTACGGTGTCGGCAAAGAATGTTGACTGTACGTGCACTGCGAGAAGAGTGAACAAATCTGACTTGGAAGACGTGCCGCCAGAATGCTCCTTGGAAAGGAGGACAGGGCGGCTTTGCGTCACACACTTGGCTCGTGTTATCAGGAGGGCCCAGCCCTGGAGAATGA